CGCACTGCAGCTGTTTCCATCCTGTGCGCCAGCTATTCTCATGTGTCGCATTCCAGGACTGCTTTACCGTAGTTTTCATTTCCATTGTAGTTTTTGATTCAGGCAAGATCTTGGTTTGTTGTTGCGTGGTGTGCGTGTGTGTGTGTGTGTGTGTGTGTGTGTGTGTGTGTGTTCCCATTCCAGCCCGAGGCACTTTTGAATGGCAAAGCAAATAAAGCACGGGAGATGATCCTTATTCACAATATCGTTGTGAAGAGATATTGAGTGGCTTTCAGATGCACACCTCCGAGGACGTCTGTCCACACGCGTGGTCACCATCGGAACCTCCCCTGGGCTAGGCCATTGGGTTTTTCCTTGATCTCATTGGCCCTGTGAGCACTGCACTGGAAAAACCTTACTGTGGGTCAGGCGGATTTGGAAAGTCTGTCTATCTTTTCAAGCAGATCAGCTTTCGTATGTGTTTTAAAGCCCTGCATCCACTCTCCCCAGCCAAGGCATTGCTGGAACAGCTCTTCATGCTGGAAGAGACCCAGCGCTTCCAGAGCGCTCACCGAGAATTTTTTTCATTGTAAACCCAGATGTTTTCATTCGCCCAGCTATTCTCGACTTCTGCAGCTCTATTTGCTCGGCTGCTGTTTTGCTGGTCAGCGCGTCTCCACAGTCCCGGCTCCTTAAGGCCGGGGCGGCTGCTCCTCTCTTAGCCCAAGTGCTGAAATCAATCTGCGAAAAGGTTTTGGGGCCACACACCAGAGGCAGGCAGGGCTGAAGGCAGAAGGGCCTGGTCCAGATCGCAGCATTCCTGAGTTTAAAGCTCTTTCAGACAACAATTAAGCTTTAAGAGGGGTATTTCAGCCTTCTGGAATGGAGGAAAGCTGCAGAAAAACTGTGAAACCGCCGAAGGGAGTGTGAAAGGCGCAAGGGAGTGTGAATGGCCATGCAGGAGCTGCTAGGGAGCATTTTGGAGCCCAAAGAAGGCTAGACAGGAACGCCAGGCCATGGTGCTGCTACACAGGGCTGCTTCCATTTTAGTGCTTTGCAGCTGGATGACGGATGCGCTCTGTGCGCCAGGCAAATATTGTCTTGCATGCTGTCTTACATCCACAGCAAAAATGACAGAAGAAAGCAGGTAGGCCTAGTCAGAATATGTGCCTTTAACTGTTTTGTGTTGCTAAATTGAAAACAGCCACCAGCTAGGTCCACTAAAGAATATAATTTCGCTCTCAGTTGCCAACAGAGAATGAAGAGATTTTATGTGTTGTGAGGTAGCTCTGCATCTGACTTTACAGATGACAGTCCTCTGTTTGAAGGGTGGCCAGGGGACAGGCATAGTTGAAGGACTGTCCAATGCCCATTCAATTTCAGTGCTTATTTGTAGATTTTTTATCCTGCTCTTCTCCAAAAACAGGCCCTTCAAGAGTTTCCATGCAGTCCATCCCTGCCTAGAGGTTTAGAATCTAAAAAGATGCATGGCATAAAAGGAAATAAGGCTAGGGAGGGAAGAGGGGAAGGAACCCTAACTCTCTGGGCCAGAAAAGTTGCCCATCAGCAGCTAGCAGTGGGACTGCTCACTACACAAGCACCTGGGCACTCTTTCCTACCCTCACTACACTCAGCTAGAAAGGGTCCAGAGGAGGGCAACAAAGACACCACCCTGTGAGGAGAGACTGGGAGAACTGGGCATGTTCAGCCTTGAGAAGGCAAGCCTGAGGGGGGACATGGTATCCCTCTAGAAGTACCCCAAAGGCTGTCACAAGAGGACGGTCAAGATCTCTTCTTGCTGATGCCAGAGTGCAGGGCAGGGAATAATCTGTTCAAGCTGCCACAACCCAGATTCAGTCCAGACATCAGGAAAAGCTTCCTCATGGTCAGAGCAATATGACAGTGGAACCAGCTGCCTGGAGAGGTGGTGGGCTCTCCCACACTGGAGGCATTCAAGGCAAAACTGGGCAGCCACCTGAGTGGGATGGTGTTAGTTGGTGTCCTGTACCAGGAGGAGGTTGGACTTGATGCCCTTCCTAGCCTCTTCCAGCTCTACTATTCTAGGATTCTATGAACTATAGTGAGAGGTATTGTATTTCAATTTAAAATTATAGCCACTATTTCTAAATCCACACCTCTGTGCCTGAATGAGCATATGCACATTTTATGAATCCCCTGCCTTCCCCCTTGGTCAATGTCTAAGTGGCCGTAGTTTGAAAGCGTGTGGACACCTCTGGCTGGTAGGCTGGCAAGGGGTTTCTTCTGGAAGGCCTGAGGTGCCGTGTAGGCTCATGCTTCCTTTTAAGGACAGAATTTAGGGATTCTGGTTGCAGAATGTGGAATTCTCTGTGCATGCACAGAATTCTCCCCCGCCTCCTGGCTATTTGTCTTCCAGAGCAGGAAAGCATTTCTCTAAATTTGCTGCGGGAGAAGGAAACGGAGCCCAGTTTCTCTCCAAGGGACTTTTGCTTGTTATCCTCCGCTTCTTTCAGTGAAGCCATATGGTTTTGATTCTTTGTGTGGCAGATGAATGGGAGGTTATTTGAGTATCCCTCAGCTATATGAGCTCAGATTGTCTCAGCAGCATGTGTGCGGAGAGGGAGAAAGGAGGGAGTAGTAGAAAGGGAACTTGCAAAAGAAGCTTGAGGTTAAAACAATTTGTGTAATAATAATTTTAAAACTCTCTAGCAGATGCAGCAATCTTTATGGGAGCCAGATGTTCAGATATTGTAGCTGCTAGCTGGGCTGTGGAATTGATGAGGCCACATGGACCCCATCTATCAGGATAGCTGTTTTCCCTACATTTAAAGGGTGAAGGGAAGGATTGAAAATGTGCATTCTTTCAAAAGAGGTGCATCTGAGCTGCAGGGAAGTTTTATTCCTCATCTTCCCCTTCTGATGATCTTGGAAAGGGTGAGCTGCCAAAAGGAGAGAGCAAATATTATCTCTGGATTAGTTACTTTGGTCTGGGTGGTTTGTTTTCTGACAATGAAGGCAATCCATCGTAGTCCCTGAGATGAAATGCCCACAGCCAGGAGACCTTGAGCCTCTTTTTGTGCATTCCTGATCCTGCTGTGCAGGAAGACAGGCAGCATCTGGGCGCTTGCATCTTGGGCAGGCGAAGGAAAACACCAGCAGGAGTTGCTGCTGAAAACTGGTGTAGTGGAGTGATGAATGTGTTCGCCTGGGGGCCTGTGGATCCGGGTTCTAATTGCCACTCAGCCGTGATGCTCACGGCGTGACTTTGGGCCAGTCACAGACTCTCGGTCTCGCCTGCCTTGCAGGGTTGTGGTGAGGGTCAAATGGAGAGAGGGAGGATCCTATAAGCTACCTTGAGTTCCTTGTAGGTGAAACAGAAGTAGGGTATAAGTGTAATGCAGCGATGATGATGATGATGATGATGATATATTTATTTATTGAGTGAAGCTTCTTCCTTGTAAGAGAACTTGTAAAAGGAAAAGATTTCTTGTAAGAGAAAAAAGATACACTATAAATGCATAGCATTATTGTTAATACATTTATTTAGAGAAGCAAGCTCCTAGCACTTAGGGGTCTGAAAATTATATGTAAAAACTGTGGGCGGGCCATATGCAATCACGGAAGCCAAAGGTGGCGGCTGAATCGGTTTGCGCCAAGGGCTGCAGTGCTGTGTAAACTCTGAAATGCTCGGAAAAGTTCCGTGCATCTTCTCCCCTGGCGGTGGCGTTCAGAGAATCGCTCCATGAGACCCTCCTTCTAGGAGCTGGTCATCTCCTCCCTGTAATACCAGCTGAAAATTCGATTGTGAGCTGCCGCAAGATGCAGTGGCGCAATAGGCAGCAAAGAAATGTTTTAAATGAATGAATAATAAAGTAGCAGGATGAAATTCAGTAGGACAAATGCCACGTTCTGCACCTAGGAAAAAGAACGCAAGTGCATCAGGCCCAGGTGCGGAACGCTTGGCCCAACTGCGCTGCGAGTGGGAAGGACACTGGACTGGTAGATCACAAGCGGAGTCAGAGCCAACCATGCGATGTGGCTGCAAAAAGGGCAACTGCTACTTTGGGCTGCATGCACAGAAGTATCCCGTCCAAATCCCACGAAGTGCTAGGTCCCCGTTACTCAGCCCTGGTTTGGCCTCATCCGGAGTCCTGTGTCCAGTTCTGGGCAGCACCGTTTAAGAAAGATGCAGACAAGCTGGGAAGGGCTCAGGGGAGGGCAGCAAGGACGATCCGGGACTGGAAACAAAGCCCTGCTGGGAGAGATGGGAAGAACTGGGCATGCTGAGCCTCAAGAAGAGAAGACCGAGGGGAGAGGGGATAGCCCTCTTGAAGGGCTGTCACAAAGAGGAAGGCCAGGCTCTCTTCTCCATCATCCCACAGGGCGCGGAATAGCAGGCTCAGGTGACAGGAACCCAAAGAGTTTCCTGACTGAGAGAGCAGTACTACAACGGACCCAGGGACACAGTGGGCTCTCCCACACTGGAGGCATTCAGGAGGAAGCTGGATGGCCACTGGAATGGGATGGTTTAACCTGGAGTCCTGACTGAGCAGGGTTGAACCCAGTGCCCTTCCTGGCGCCTTCCAGCTCCACTGTTCTCCTGTGCATTTCTCCTTGTCCCCTTTCTCGTGCGGCCACGGCCTGCTTGCTTGCTGGACAGGCAGAAAGCAAGGAGGCCATGGCATCTCCCCCCCCCCCCCCCCCCAGCACTGATGCTGGTTTGGAATGAGAGGCAGAAGGACTCTGGGCTGCAGTGGTGGGACAGTGGGCCGGTGCTGTTGGCACACGCCTGCCCTTGCCTGCCATCGCCATTGGCCCTGCAAGGCAAGCCAGGCAAGCCCCCCGATTCCGGTGGTCATGCTGCGTAGCCCCGTCTAGTTGGCTCTGAGCTGCATGGCTGTCCGGCGTCTTGGGGAGCTCCCACCGTCCTTGCCTTGGAGACACCAGGACCTTCCCTCCCATCACAGTCCTCGCCAGGCACAGCAAGCAAGATGTGCCACAGCAAACCGACCCGCACATTTGGATAAGAAACGGCAGGCGCCCCGGCCAGGAATGCTGTGGTTACGGGGAGGGAAGCCCACGGGGAGGAGGGCGACATCCCACGTGGAACAGTGTCCTTGTGTGCTTTGTAAGCTGATTGTCTGTTACGCTATCCAGCGTCCTATGCTTAAGGGTCCACATGAAGAATACTTATCTTGGCTTTAGGCTCAGGAAGATGTTAGGACTGAATGTTTTCTGTTCTTCATAAGGAAAAATATCTGACATAGCAAGTTTCCTGCAGCCAGGAAATGGTGGGTTAAATTTGCTGCACAGCTCTGAATGTCCCCTGCCTTGTAATAGCCAGGCACGATTTCTACATCCTATTAAGCAACTTGTTTAAAATAAATGTTTTAAGGAGGCAATCCTATGTATGTTTAGAGAGGGAATCATCCTTCCACACTCATCATTTCCCAGCCAGCATAGGATGGCATTTTTTCTTGCCCAACATGCACAGGACTTGTGTCCTAAATTGTTTATAACTGTGGTATTAATTTCTTTAAAGGGTGTGAGTGTGAGTGTGAGATAGGAAACATGTCATATCCTCGTCAGGCAACCCACTGTCTTTGCAGTTGCTGAACAGAAGGTGGAAATCAAGGACCCAATTGAGTTCTTTCTGAGCAGTTGGATAGCGCACCAAGCGTCTCGGCTTGTTTCTCTGTAAGCAGAAGGGCTAGAAACTTTGCAAGGGGGAACAAACATTTGGGTGCAGGAAAGGAGCCTGGAGTAGGCTGAGCAATTCAGGCCCTGGTGCTCCTCTTCTTCCACATATACCAGCTACAGGGCCAAAAAGAAAGTCCCAGAATAAATATGCAGGTACGTGGAGATATAATAGAGAACAGCAAATGAGGCATGTAGGGTGAAGATTTCATTAAAGACGGATGAATGTGTTAGTGTCTGTGCGTGGGTGTTTGTGAAGTTAATGTTCAGTGGGCATATGGAATGCCATTGTTGCAATCTAAGTGGATTTTAGTAAAGCATTTTATACCGGACTATTTTTGGCACTTAAACAATAGATCTAGGCTCCTAAGCATAAGTAATAAATTCATTAAGGGTGAAACAACAAAACATGTTGTGCTTAAAAAGTTGGAGAGAACATGGGAGTTCATGAATTCCCAACTTAGGGCCCATATTGCTTCACATTTCTGCCAGGAACCTTAGGGATAGTCCAAACTTGTCAGGGTGTCATGGTGCAATGTGTGGATAACACGGAGTGAGAGAGCTGGGAATCGCACAAGGCAAAATAGATGACCTCATGAACTGGAGTCATAGAAATGGAATGAGACAGGCTAGTATAAAATGTACAGACACACAGTCGGGGACCGATCGCTTATTTTTTGTTACCGTCTGGAGACAGTTCAACTGGAAAAAGCAGAGGAGGAATGCGATCTGAAGTTCTTGACTGGTCACATATGATGCAGCCACAAATGTGACGTAGCTGCAAAAAAGGCGAAGACGATTAGCAAAGGTACTCCGTGGGCACTTCTAGTGATGCAGCTGAGGATTAATGCTTGTCAAAGGTTTGGAATACAGGGGTCACAGGCATCCTGAAACTGGAATGTAGAGTACTGTATGAGGTCTGCCTCAAGCAAAGGACAGAAACCAGTTGGAACATTCATGAATTTTACAGGTACTCTGAGATCTGACCGCATTGCAAGAGTTATACTCTACTTCTGCACTGTACATTCTTTGCGCAGTTGGCTGTTTGTTTTGTCCTCATTTGTTCTGTATCCTTTTATTTGACCTCCACAAGACTGAAAGTGATTAGATAGCAAGGACAGTGCCACGGCTGGCTCTTCCTTTAATTCTGACCCAGACAGAATATCCCTTGCTGATCTGCAATTCTTGAACTCATTGCAGTGGTTCCTTTCTTACTTATTGGTGATGATGAAACATTGCCTTTTTGTGCTGAGATTCCGAAACATTTTTTTTGAAAATATTCCCGAAGCAAAAATTTCTAGATGAGAGCTCTTGTCACAGTGCCCTGCAGGGGTGCAAATTTTGCAACAGCTGATCAGGAGAACAGCTCTGAAGAACGGTGCTAAGCCCTCCTCCCCTGCCACTATAGGAGCTTCCAGGTGTGTCTTTTATCACACCATTACCCTACTGCATTCGCAGAGTTTTATGGGGAATCCAGACAAAGTTATCCTCTGCCTGCAGTTGTCTTCAGCTTCTTCTCTTACTGTGGAAAATCTGTAAAGAAGCAAAGGGCAGAAGAGGTACACAAGGCCTTCTAATTGGTAGCACAAGAATCTATAGCTTGTTGCTGTTGTTGTTTGGAAAGAAAAAAGCAAGAGACCCAATTTTAGATGCCTTGTTGAGTCACACCATCATTACTAGATCCTCATAAAATCATGACTTCCTTGAATTATGCAAACGGCCCACCCATGTCCTTCAGCAGTGCTTCTGTGGCCTTCCTGCCTTCCAGAGTGCCTTCCATGGCTATAAATCAAGTATGCTTAATGACAGAACGCATGAAAATAATGCCATATGTTGAGGTTATCCTTGGGCCTGCAGAAAAGACAGAATGAGAAACCAGCTGCTAAGGGCCAGTGTGCAGATAGCAGCTTTCGGAGAGTCAGGAAGAACCCGTGGTTGACAAACCATGTTATCAGGGTCTGGGTCACAGTGAATGTGTGAATTCTGGATTGCCAAGACGTGTGGATGTGGCTGTGCTAAGGAACCTTGGCTTGTAAACCATAAGCAACCCAGAAAGAGAGCCCCAGGTTTGTTGTTGGGTTATGAACTCTGGGTTGTTTAAAGCATGGGTGGCTGCAACATACGGGTGATTTTGTCAGGCTACAGTGGCAGGATTGGTTTAAAAAGTGGTATGTGCCCAACTAGTGTACAAACCAGCACTATTGTGCTGCCAAGGCAGATAGGGACGGAGTGGGTGAAGAAGGAAGAAACAGGCAACCCAGGGTCTGAGGGACTGAAGTATCCAGGGATTGAGAAGCAGGGCTTGTTCAGTCATCTACCAGGCAAGCCCTAAATAGAGGAACAGTCCATGGGTTAACTAAACCATGGATTAGTATTATGTGTGATAAGGTCATTGATTTGGTGGCTGGGTTAGCACATCTCAGCATGCAGCCCCATGCAGTTCCCACCTTCCTTTTATTGCCTTGCCTTATTGGTCTGACGCCCCACACTTTCCATGTAGACGCAATTTCCATGCTTCCTCCTCTGTCCTTGTGCTTTCGGCATTCATCCCAGCAGCCCTGTGAGCAAAATCCCTTTCTTTACTGTATCGTCCTCTAGTGCCCTCAACTGTCTCTGCCTGAGTGGTCCACCAAGGCTCAGAGACAGGTTCTCCCTATTTTCCCTCCTGTCCGTACGTCCATCTCTTAAGTGCTTCTTACCCAACACGCTGTCCAAAGGGTTTGTTGTTTTGGGGTTTTTTTGCCTTAAAATAAAAACATTTGCTGCAATTCTCCCTTCTTTCTCTGTACATTTACCCACTTTTTCCTTGGTGCAGAAAGTAAACAGGGTAATGGGCACAGAGCTCAGCCAATAGGAGCAAAGCGAGTATGTTGGCGTGTGTGTTGCTAGGACGCTGTGGGTAGTAGAGATTGGATGCCCCTAGAGTGACCGCTTCTGTTGTTGCTCTTTCCATGGAACTCTGTGGTGTTTTTTCCATCACAAATGGGTCTGGCTGTCAGGAGAAAAAGTGCTGAAGCATGGAAACCTTGCAACAACCAGTGTTCTTCTCCATGGTTTTGAGAAGCCCGGTATGCCATGCTGAAATTCCATGACTGGGTTTGGAAGCCATGACGCAGGTTCAAAAGCAATATGGCTTCTCATGGCACATGAACCTGCCAGCTGGTGCCAGCGAAATGCACCTTGGACACTTCTTGATTGGCTAAGCATGTCCTGCTCCCTCCGTTTTCTTCCACCAGGTTATCCAAACGACCTTGCTATTTCTTTCACAAATGACAAATAAAGTGAACCAATGTGCCATTCTTTCCTATTTTATTTGGAAAATATTCTTCCAAAGTCTAGACAAAGCAATCAAAGTTGAACTCTTGCCTCATAAGCTCTTCCCCTGCTTTTTCAGCTGCTTTTTTAGGAGACATCGCTTTGGATGAGGAAGACCTCAAGTTGTTCCATGTGGACCGGGTTGTAGATCTCACACGACGCACCATTGAGAGAACAGCTACCAACTCTTCAGGTACAGTTGCGCACCTTCTCATGGCCAGGACTCAGGTACCGCAGGGGAAACAGACACCTCTACCTCCCATGCTTCTTGTGCCCGGTTTATGTATTTCAAAAGTCTGAATCACTCGTGTAAGAAAAGACAGACCCTTTGTTTGTCTTTATATGCCACAGAGTTCCAGCACACAGTGGCAGCTGAGGAGCAGCTGGGGCTCTATGTTTCTGAGGTGCTCCAAGCAGAATAGAACAGAAAAATCCAATGCTAGGACAGATATTAAAAGGTAAAGGTTTCCCCATGACATTAAAGTCCAGTCATGCCTGACTCTAGGGGGTGGTGCTCATCTCCGTTTCCCGGCCGAGGGAGCCAGCGTTTGTCCGCAGACAGTCTCCGTGGTCACGTGGCCGGCATGACTAAACACCGAAGTGCACGGAACGCTGTTACCTGCCCACCGAAGTGGCACCTTTTTATCTACTTGCATTTGCATGCTTTCGAACTGCAAGGTTGGCAGGAGCTGGGACAGCGTACGGGAGCTCACCCCGTCCGCAGATTCGAACCGGCAACCTTTCAGTCAACCAGCCCAGCGGCTCGGCGGTTTAACCCACTGCGCCACCGCATCCCTAGGACAGATATTACAAAGGCCTTAAACCACTAAGGACGAATCCAGAGGTGAAGGCCTTCACTGTGGTAGCCTCGAACCCTTGAAGCAGCTTCCGTCGGGGTCCTTGTCCTTGCAAGCTCTGAAAACCCAGTTGTTTTCACTGCCTTCTCGTGAACCGTGGGCAGCAGGTGGGGGGCATCTGAGGTACCAGAAAGGTCTGGCCAAGCCTACAGGATAAAATAGCGCCCAGATTTGCAGAGGGGAGCAAGCGGGGGGAGCACATGTGGGCAAAATCCTGATCGGGGATCGGATGTGATGAGAGATCGTTAGCGCCCCTGCCCTTTTATTTCCAGAAATGCCCAGGGGCAGCAGAGGGGTGGGACCCACAGATTCCCAGAGTTTCAGGGCTCCGAAGGAAAGATTTGTGGCTCCGGCTCTCGTGGGCTGCCCCCAGCATTGCTTCCAGCTGCAGAGCGCACTAATGTCATCTGTATTTATATACCACGTTGATGTAGCTTGTATGTATCACTCGTCTGTTGTGGTTGGCATGCTTCTGTGCTGCCTTCATTTGGTGCAGTGCCTTAAGAGGGCCCTGCCCTACCAGGCTGCCTGAAATCATTTTAAGCAAGGAAATAAACCGACCAGCCCCAGCCGCCTTGGTGGGTTTCAGACCAGAGAGGGGAGCCCGTTGGAAGTCAGTTGCGACACCCGGCTCCCATCCCCGGCTTCAAGCCTGACGGCCAGCTGGGACTTGCTCTTCTTGCCCTGCTCTTCCGGAGTGCCCGCAGCCTGGCTCTGGGAATGATCCGTCACTTCCACCTTCGGTTCCATGCTAGGAAAGGGGATCCTTCAAGTTACAAGGCAAAGTCCTCGTCCTCTGTTGACACCAGGCAGTTCCCCGCAGTTCCCGAAGTTCAGACACGTTCTTAAACTCCTCTGTTCACACTGACTTTCCCTGATGTGTGACCCAGTAGACCTGTTTTCATTATCCCCTTTAATGTTGTTTTTATGCCATTGTGTTTTCTGCTCACTGCTTTTTGGAACGTGGCCTTTTCCACCGTTTTGCAAAGCTCTGGGTGGAAAAATGGGAAAAAATGCAGCCCATTCCGTTTACAGACAGGCATGCTTTTGACAGTTTTCACAAGAAAGCGAAGATGGGGTTTTTACATGGCTCAGCAGGGGGTTTGACGGGGGGCGTATGCAGCTATGAAATCGGCAAATGCGCCTGTCAAGAACCTGCCATTCCGTTTTAAAAGTAACTCTTACCTGTTGGCAAAAGGAGTCCCGATTGGAGTAGGAGGAGCAAAGCCGTGACTTTAACACCAGAATACCAGTTGGGCACTTGGTGGAGGGGCTGTCACTGGTGGTGGGTGGATTAACCCTTTCCTCCCCAGCTTCATCCAACAAAAAAGTCCTCCTTGGGGGTTGCTTTTAGATTCTGGAGAGATACTCTTACTTGTACCAGTGGGAAACTTCTCTCCAAAGAAGCTGCTTCTTCACCAGCTGCGTGGGGAGGAAGTGAGTTTATCGGCACTGTAGTGGGGAGGACAGGGTTAACACCACCCACCTGCACCCGCACCTGCACACGGCTGTCCTGAACCTGAGCTGGGGCCCCAAATTTGCTACTCTTGAGTCGAAAAAATAAGCACAGAACTTGATGTTATGTGCTTTAAGCATTGCATGTAATCTGACCCTCTGGTGCTATGCAAGTATAAATGAATTTCATTATTAAATGGGGGGAAATGCACTTCTCATGGTAGAGGAATGTCTTGATAGCGTCTGTTGTTCAGAAAACAAGTTCATTCAGAGAGATCTCTGGGCTGCCTTCATTAAATTATTTTGGTATCTGTCTTCTGGCGTAGGCTGAGTTCCCTTGGGGGGTCACTCACCTTGTCAAATATATTTTTTCTTTGTCGCCAGCCAACTTTTCCACATATATTTTCTCTGCTTCTGATAACAAGTTGGTTATTAAGGCTGCAGTCTTATGCACGCTTTCTAGGGAGCAGGTCCCATTAAACACGCTGAAGCGGTCCTCCAATTAAAAATGCACAGTTGCTTGCCTGTGGCTGAAGTTTAGCCAAGTCGTTTAGCGACCAGAACAGAATTGTAATTGGATTGCAGTGGGCAACTTTGCTTTATATTCTTTCTAATACATTGTGACAGCGTTCCTTATTTTTTCTTCACTGCCACCGTGTGCCTTTGCTAAAATTGTATTTCGCACGTATGAGTCGCAAAAGGCAGATGTTCGTTCTTCTTCCAATAATTCTTCTTCCCAACTTGATCTGTTTTATACTCAGGCAGACTTTTCTCAGGGTAGCTCAAGACAATCTTCGGCTTTTCGTTCTGCTGATTGTACAAGTGGACCTGGTTCTCCTGGGTTGTTGTAGCCTTGTAGGACTGAATGAGCACACTACTTCACAACCACACACTGCTTTTACGTTCTTTCTGGCTTACAAAATAACTCAGCAGTGCCCTTGCTCTGAGCTGTTGCTTGTAGTTTCCAGACCCAGAATGCTGGGTTGTGGACAGATAAACATTCTGGAGTTTTAACCCAACGATAAACCATGGACACTTGTTGGGTTACTTCTGGATTGTTTAACCCATACACAACCCAGAGCTTGGAAACACGACATTTCTGGGTTGTTGATTGAATCAAAAGTGGTACATATGCGGTACACACTGTCTTCTCCTGCAATTCCTGGGTCAAGTGTGAAAGGTCAGCAGGATCATTGTGTTGTTTCTCCTTCAACAACTCAGAGTTCTGGGTTCAGACACTGCAGGAAACAACCAGGTTTGTTTTGCAAGCTGGAAAGAAAATGGAAGTAGACGCTGGTTGGCGGTAACATGTGTTCTTTGCCCAGCAGGAGCCTGACAACCCATGGATTCATGCAGGCCTAGTCTAGGCTTGTAGACCTGCTGTTTTTATACAGGAAAGCCGAAAGATTGGAGAGCATTAATAACAGTTTGGGCTTGATTTTCTGCAAATTCGGCAGCCTGGAACTCAGATAAGCTTCGTGGCAGGAAAGTTCTAAACCCATTTCCTCTGTTTCTTCTGCTTTATTAGAACCTCAGCCCAAACCTTCCCTGTAGTCTCGGCTAAAGGCCTTCCCAAATCGGCCCGATTGGTGAGGAAAGTCAGTGCAGCAAAGATAAACAGAAAGACGGTGCTAGGTTCACCCTGCTTCTGCTGAAAGCCAGGCCTCAGAAGACCACTGTTAGCTCAGCTGCTGTTACTGGGCACTGGCCCACTGATAATATTGACGGGAGCTGGGTTCATCTGCAAGAGGACAAAAGTAACTGGGTTCACATGGGTCCATTTCTCAGCCGCCTATGGGGCTGCCGGCATTTCCCTGGCAGCAGGGGGCAGGGGATTAGGAGATTTATCACAGGGGTGTCCCCCCCCCCCCCCCACCACAAATGATCTCCCTGGCAGCGACATTTGTTCAGCCCTGGGGTAATCATTCCAAGAGAAAAGAGATGACAGGCTGAATAATGATGCATGGATAGCGCTGGAACCTCGATCCCAGCAAAAGCTGCACATCAAGATAGGCCATCTGGGTGTTTGGGTTTGCTCTGAAACAGCATGACATGCTGGAGTGCGTCAGGAAGCAGCTCAGCGGCACCTGTTCTGCGTGCTGAAGCGGCCCAGGTTTGGTGCCCGCATCTCCAGCTTGGGCTGGAAAAGCTCCTGGTGGAAACCCTGAGGAGCTGCTGCCGGTCAGAGTGAACACTGTGAGGCTGGGTGGGCCCGGGGGCTGGCTCGCTCTCGAGCCACTTTCTCTGTTCCAAACGGAAGAAAGGGACTAGAGTGACTGGCGGGCGGAATCTGGGCATTTGCTTCGTCTGGGCCATCTGGCTGCAATTGGATAATTCCCACGCATTTTATCCTACTTTGGGGTGAAGATTGGACTCTTTCTGTGACCCAGCCCTGCTGCCAGCTAAGGATGGAAAATGTGTAGCCCTCCACATGTTTTGGTCTGCAGTTTCCAGCATCCCTCACCATTGGCTATGTAGGGCTGATGGGAGTTCACTTGCTTCTTTATTGATTGATTACAATGATATTCTGCCTTTTTTCCCTTTCAAAGAACTCATGGCAGTTTGCATAATTCCCCTCCCCTCCAAATTATCCTCACAACAACCCTGTGAGGTCGTCTGGGTTGAGAAGCTATGACTAGCTCAGAATCACCCAGAGCTCCATGACTGAGTGGGGGCTAGAACCTGGATCGCCTGAGTCCCAGCCCCAGCCTTAATCACTGCACCACACTGGGTCTCAGATCTTCAAGGGGGATACAAATTGCCCACCAATGCCATGCAAGAGAAGTGGGAATGACCCAGTTAATGTGGCAAGGCCCACGGATAGGCTTTGGACATTTAATAGCAAGGCGAGGCCTTAACAGCAACTTTGCAATCTATCGAAGGCAAGTGGGGGTGTCCCCTTGCCAGATAACTGAGCTGTGAAATATTGGTGTTGGCTTTTGGACTGTTTCTTTGCTCATCCCTGTCCCTTTAGGGCAGGGTCTCTGCCAAGCAGCAGCTTGGCTGAGAGAGCGCATTCCAGACAATTTGGAGACCAGGGTCTTGGCACTTCCATGCTGGTTCCGATCTTGCTTTAACGCAGCCAGCCAAAACCTCTCTGTGTGTGCGTGCTGGGGGAAGCTGCTTCCCCCCCCCAGCCAAATACGCAATGCTTGTGAATGAGCTACCCGTGTCCTACCCTGCCCTAGTACTGTCCCCCAGGAGAAGAGGGAAACTTAGCCGGTTTCCTTGACACAACTGCCGCCAAAAGGCTTGGACTGGAAGAACCACAGTCAGCCCTCCGCCTGGCTTTCTGGTTCCTTCGGAGCTTCGTATTGACCTTGCTGCTCTTTGAGGACCAGGCTGAATACCCATCCAACGCTAGCTAGGCACTGAACCCATACAAATAATAACAGAAAACATAGCTTGGAGTTTGAAGAGTAGATCAAGGAGCCTGTGACACTGGAAGGTCAGCCACTTTGTTTATGCAAGAGGAGGGATAAGTGAGAAGGCACAGAAGTCCGTTTGTCTGGAAAGAGTTTGTCTGGGATTCGGTCTGGCAGGAGCTGAAGTGGTAAACTACTCTCTGTCCCCCACTGTGTCAAGGGAGTTGGTGGCAATGGAGGCCGCAGTGGTGATAAAAATGCTTTTGGATGCAGCTGGTTCTGGTACCGGGCACTTGGAAACGCTTCTGGGAGTGCCTGACTTGTCTGCCTTCCTGCCACAGAGTGATTGGTTGAGCTGCCCTGATCCTACAAGGCGAACAGAACGTCTTAGGTGGGGAAGAGGTATACCAAATAGGAGCCTGTAGGCAGTGGTGTAGTGGAACCAGGGCTTGCGGGGATGAAGCACTGGCGTTTCTACATTAGCAGGGCCACGCCATCCAAGCTTCCCTGTTCCCTCTGGACTGAGTTGTAAATCACGCAATAGCTGGAGGGTAATGAAAACAAGTTTGGAAAGAGGCGTTTCCCACAGAAATGAGGAAAATGTGAGGGGCAGAATCAGAGAGGAAAAGGAAAACTTAGAGAAAAAAGGAGTGAAGCAAAAAGTTTATTATGGTGCAAAGGTGCAGGGGCTAGCCGACTTGGGAAATTGGAATAAGCCCCCGATCTTGGACTACAGGCCACCTTTTTGTAGGTGTGCATCTTAGTCTGCAGCAGAAGTATTTTTGAATTTTTTATTGTGAGTTTCAAAAGTCAAAACAGAAACAAAAATGATAAACCAGAGAAATACCGTTTTCTTACATGAAGTTGGAATCTGTTGTAATAAATACATATATACTATGTGCCCCAATCTATTTTACATAGAGCAAAATATGCTACTGTTCTTTGGGATAGTTATGTATGGACTTCAGCAAAGGCGGTATACCAGTATCCGAGTATTTGTCCCTTTGCAAATCATGCCTGAATGCCCCCCTTTCAAAAATCAAAGCATTCATCAGGCATGCAACTCACTGTGCTATTGCAGACGGCCGTTTGGCCTTCCCGTGATGAAGCTTTAGTCTTTAAGTTGTCAAAAGGACATGCAGAATCCATTTATACTGACATTGTGTTAAGCTCCAAAAAAGATAGTTAAGAAGAATGTGAATGTCTATAAATATTATGGAACTTTCCATCACAACTTTTAGCCATATTATTACCTCCTTCCAAAGAGAGACATTGTCAAATCATAGGCATGAGAGCAGCATTAGCTGTTTTACAGCTCCAACAATCAGCCAACGTATATAAACACTTCTTGTAAAGACAGTGTGGCATCTGATATACTTGAAACTTCCATTTTTTGGCTGAATTAAATGTAGCCCAAGATCCTTTACCCCTTCTTGTGATTGCTGCCAGCAAGGCGATACACGGATTGGGCAAAATAGGATACTCCAATCCATTATTCCATTCTTGATGAAGAGCCTGGGTGTTGCACTTGCTCACTAATAATCAGTATTTACAAACAATAACAATGGGGGCTGGAGTAGAAAGCAGGAGCATAGCAAGATCTCAGCACCTTGATGCTGAGACCTATTCTGGCTGAAAGCCGGGTGTGCATTTTAAACACTGTCTTTAGGACAAACTCAGTGGGAAACTCAATATCTGTCACCCTGGCCAGGAGTTTTGTTTCACCGCTGGTGTTGTGGCACCAGTAACATCACTGGTGTTGTGGCACAATAAACCATGGTCTGGATGCTATCTGAATTGTCGGCATTGGTAAACTTCACTTCTTGACGAAGCCCCCCTTTCAGTCAAGCTTTCCTTGACATGGAATTGCACTGATCCATCTTGCTCTTTCCATCATGTTTTTAATGTATTTATAATTACAAGTTGTTTTAATAATGCTTTTAATGCATTTCTTACATGAACTGCTTGGAGCCCTTATGACACCAAGCAGGATATAAGTAGCATTGGTCAATGAGATGCAACTCAGGTTCATATTTCTTTATTGCCCTTGGGGCTTAAATGCCAAGGATGGGCCACTTTGGTCTCCAGCAGGGCTCCCTGGCTCCATCCTAAATGGGAAACAGAGGTGCTTGCTGAAATTCACTCGTTGTCCTCATTCCGCAGGGAACGCTTCAAACAGCACCAGCCTCAGATCCGAGAGACAGCCGAGGAGGCGATGGAAGCAGGGCCGGGGGCGACCTCGGAGTCGCCGGGCCGCCACTTCCCGTCCCGAGCGGGTGTGGCCAGATGGAGTAATCCCTTACGTGATCAGTGGGAATTTCAGTGGTGAGTTGAAGAACAAGTCGGCACGTTCACTCCCTGTGAAAGGATGGTTTTCTCCTAAAGCAGAGAGAGAGACAGAAAAGCAATCTGCCACCTCTCGTGAATAGCTCGGCTGTGGTGAATGTGTCCGATGAAGCAGCCGGGCATCCTCATAGAATCCAAGAATAGCTGATTGGAAGGAGCTGATTAGGACACTGGGCCAAACTGGCTGCTCAGTGCAAGCCTCCAAGCTGATGCTGAAGAAGAGAACGCCTGCATTCTTTCTTGGGCAACCGCAATTCCAGACCGAACAGAATATGACAAACGGAATGAATCGCTGTGTTTCCTGCGCCAAAAACGTTCTGCTTCAGTGCGTATCAGTGAACACCATCACCATGGCTTAATTTGCCTGCGGCCGCTCTTGTTCCATGCCGGCACTTTGCACAGTTTCTGCGATCTCCCGGCTTGCTGTACGTTGTCATGTTGCAAAAGCCAGACAGCAGGCTGCCTTGAAGATTCGGTCACTTTCAACCAACCCATGGGTTGCTGGGAGGGTCTTTGAGGGTTGTCTAGCTTCAAACAACCCCTCTTGCCTGGGATCACAGAACTCGGCAAATGCACAACGCGATTGCCTCCATGGGTAAATTAAGCTGTGGTGCGCTGCCATGTCGTGTGTCTCCCCGTCTGCTCACTCTCACCCGAGCCGGGACACAGTGCGTTGCAAAGCACGTACCCAGGTCTTCCTCGCCCTCCTTGTCTGCCTCATGACCACTCAGAAATCCCTGGAGCCTGGCCTCCGTTCTGGGAAGGGAAGCAGCCAGGCAGAGGCTGTGCATTCCCTTGAAACCCCTGGTCCATTGCCCGTGTTTTAGCATCGAGCTGGGATGTCAGACATTCCCGGACCGGCCCTTGTTTTGTTTTGGTTTGCTGTGGGTTGTAACCAGGTCGCTTGCACCTCGTTAGTGAACTGTGCCCGAAGTATTTGGCTGTTCTGTTTGCTGAATTCCCAGTGGCAAAGCAGGACGTTTTGACTTTCTGTCTGTTTTGAGCCAGGCTTGGTCTTACGCCTTGGAACCTCAGTCCTGCCTCTGTCACACTTGCAAGCTAGCTAGCATTCCCGAGCTCTTTTCTGTCGCCTCCAAGCCAGTGCAAGTGGTACCAGCCTGGGTAGATAAAAAACCAGCTATTTAAGAAGAATAGGAGGAAGAAGAAAACTGGATATAAAATATAATTGATTTGGATGTTTTAGATTTACTTTTTACAAAATGGGTTCTAGTAAGCCTCTCTCGAAAAATAACTGATGCAAAGAAATTTAGATTTCTTTTTATCATATCCCTGTATATTAAAACTTACAGTCTTATAACTCTGAATCATGGACTGCCTAGTCAGTGAGGCCATATAAAGAATTCCTGGCGGTTCTGCATGGATTTGAGGTCTGTTTAGGGCTCACTTGAAGATGAGCTTTCAGAGTATTCCTCCCTGTGGAACGAATGCCTTCAAGTTTGCATTTATTTATTAGATTTATATCCCACCTTTTCTTTTAAAGAACTAAAATCAGCTTACATCATTCTCCTGCTGTTCTTAATCTTATCCCAACAACAACAGTGATGTGAGGTAGGCCGGGCTGAGAGTCTGGGACTGGCCCAAAGACACCCCATTGGCTCTGTGGCTGTTACGGGAATGAATTCCATGCCCTCTTGCAAAAGTAGCTCCATCCACTGTTGCAAAGAGCCTTGTTCCTTCCCAAAGGCCTTTGCCCTCAGCGTACACTCACTAGCATTGCCACAAGTTGCGTGTGACAACTTGGCAACTCCTCACGCTGTTCAGAGAGTGCCCGAGAAAAATCTTCCTCACTAGCCAGCCTTCTGTCTCTGCCTGTTTCCTGCAGGTAGCCAGCGAGCCATCTTTCGGCAGGCCATGCGCCACTGGGAGAAACACACCTGTGTCACCTTTCTGGAGCGGAATGATGAAGACAGCTATATTGTGTTTACATACAGGCCGTGCGGGTAAGCGAAGGCCAGCTCTGCCGCAGGAGATCCCCAACAGCCCCTGGGCTCCCCAGGACGCTCGAGAGGCACACAGCCACGTGGAGTGATTAATGAGCCCAGGGGCCAAAAGCCAGCTGATTGCTCTGTGTGGGTGTGTTTACGCAGTCTTCCAGGAAAACAGTCCCCCCAGGCCTCCGTGGGCTGCTTCCCTTCGCCTAAGCGTTTGCCTTCAGAGGCTGAATCAGAGCTTGGAACAACTTGAAAGCAAGGAGCAGAGCTCCCAGGGGCCTGGATCCATATCTGTTTTATCCTGCTCAGAGTGGCCCAGGGACTCGCTTTTGGTTGGTGCATAGCAAAGTTCTCAAATTGGGTATTTTAGCTCAAAGACGGTGTCAAGGGGGCTTCCATTAAATCTTCTGGAAGTGTTTGATTTAAAAAGAGGGAAGGAACCTTTCTGAAAGATGGGAACGCCTCTCCTGAGGCTTAGCTACTGCCAGTAGGAACTTGAGGCTAAGATGCTCTGGTTGTTTTGACACTGCACCTTGCCTTTGGACCACCCACCTCTTCACGGGAGAAGGGACTTTGAGGCAATCCTATCCCCCTACGCATTAGGTGTTAGGTGCTTCCATAAGCCATGCACTGCACCAAAGCAAATAAAATCCTGCCAGATAATTTTAAGTCAATATCCATAACACCGATTTCAGGATCCAGTGTTTTATAGTTCAGGATTTTGATGAGTTTGGCAGGTGGTATTAATCTTTTTCTTGTGTGAGCATCATGTAGATACTTTTCCGGTGGTGGGTGGTGTAGGTACTTGAGCTTGTGCCTTTCTCTCATCATCCCTCAGGATTGGCTGTTCTGGCCAGGGTTGGTGGGAACTGTAAGCTGACAATGTCTGAATGGGAGTAGCAGTCTCAAGAACCCCTGGAGGCCAAACTCGCGCATCAGCTTAGATACGCTACTGGGCAGTATAGCTAGGTGTGATGGATCACCAACCCTGCATAATGAACTGATGAGCAGCTGCATCGACAAAAATGGCACTGAATCTACCCACGGTCTAAACAAGCCGCCTTCCACCTTGCGTCCAACAGATTTTGGACTAGATCTCCAAGCATTCTTGGTTGTTGGCTGTGCTGACTGGTAATGGTCGGAGGACACTAGGTTGGGAAAGGTTGGTTCAGGGCAATAATAGCCAACCTGTGCAATCTTGGGAGCCCCTCTGTTCCCTGAAGGTCGTCCCAGGTGGGCAGCCGCTCCCAGGAAGTTAGAACAGTCTGCCGCTAGTGGGTTTCATGGCCACAGGTGTATGTTCTTGAGCACGACCAAGGGCTGGATGCAAAATGCAGAAAGGTGCCATCACAGAACAGGGTGTCTCTTCAGGCTCGCACACGTTTCAAAAACATCTTGATGCTTCTTCACGCAACATCGCAGTTAAACTGTGGAATGTGCTGCCGTGGGAGGTGGTGGCGGCTGCCCATCTGGAGGGCTTTAAAGGGGAATTGGACAGGTGTGTGTGGGAGGAGGCACGTGTGGCTACTAGCCCTGCTGGCCATGGGCTGCCTCCTTTAGCAGAGGTCGTGCCTGCACGCCCCAGTGGCCGAGGGGCTGGGCAGGAGGAGGCCCACGCCCACCCTGCTTGGGCGATCCTGTGGGCAGCTGGGTTGCCCCCGTGTGTCCGGAGCCCTGGGCTAGACAGTCCTTTGGTAGGCTCCAGCAGGACTTTTCTCATGCTTTTACAGGCCTGTACCATTTATGATACATTGCTTAGGTTTGGTTAGGGGTCACACCAGCTAGATAGAATTGCTCTGTGAGTCATATGGTGACCTATTTTAAAATACATCATGGTTTGATTTGGTTCATCTTGATTACGATGCAGAGTTCAGAAATGAGGGAAAGAGATCCTAAAATGTTTACACGCAAACAACTGGATTGCATGATTCTCCAACTGCAACCCCCTTTGCTCATTTCTTCACCAGCCATTAGCAGCTGCTGCATCTTGTTTTTCCATCCTGAACAAAACGGCAGCGCTAACCTGGTGCCAAGGCCTTGTTTGTAGAGTTGCAAGACCACCACTGTTTAAACTCTGGAAATTTTTTGTTTAAGAAAAGCTGCAAGGGAAGGTTAGAGAAATTGCCAAAGTCTAAGGCAGCAGGATTAAGGCAGTATTAATGATTTCTTAACCATTTAAAAGGTTGTGTTTTCCCTCCCACCCACTACCGCCCCCGGCCTGGATTGCAACACGTTGTCTTACTCATGGTGCTGTCTGCCTTAAACGAGATTTAATTGCGAGATGGAAGTGATTTTCTCAAGGCCAGAGGAACCAGCTTGTTTCCCACCTGCCTGCTGCAGTGTGGCTTCTCTGGAGGAACATGGAAAGCTGCAGAGCCAGACCTCTGGTCCATCTAGACCAGTATTTCTGACACGGACTGGCAGCAGCTCCCCAGGGATTTCTGTGGTTAAGATGCTTTCCTAACTGACAGAGGCCAGTGGTTGGACCTCAGACCACCTGCATGCAAACCTTACGGGCCTTCCCTTTCTACGGGACTTTGGCGAGATCTCCTATGCCTGATTTTGTCTCTCTGCCTTGTCTGGCCATGTGGTTTTGCTGTCAGCCTCTTTTAAAACCAGGCCGGTTCATTTAGATGCAGCAGGATGCCAAAGCTTGCAACTAAACATCGGTGGGGATCATATGAAGGCGCATGGCTCAGATCCGCCAGTATCTGGTCTTTTTCTCATCCAGGTCTCCTCTTTTTTCTCTCGGTGAGAGAGAGAGCAAAGACAAAAGGAGCTGGCTTTATCCTCGGCTGATTCCTCTTGCTTCCCAAGATAGAAGAAGCGGAAGGCTTCAGCTCTTGGGAGGTCCAGAAATGTGACATGCAGAAATACACGTTCGTGTTCCCATTTTCCGTGAGACTGCCTCAGCCCGCGTGTGCGTGAGGTGTGGGCTTGGACATTCTCCTGTTCTGTGCTGCACAGGTGCTGTTCCTACGTGGGGCGCAGAGGAGGCGGCCCGCAGGCGATCTCCATCGGGAAAAACTGTGACAAATTTGGCATCGTGGTGCACGAACTGGGCCACGTGATCGGCTTCTGGCACGAACACACACGCCCAGACCGAGACGACCACGTGGCCATTTACCGTGAAAACATCCAGCCAGGTAAAGACTCCCTTTTCCTTCCAGCTCTTCTTGCAGAGGGAGGAGGACCCTGAGGGCGAGCAAGAGATGTCCAGTTGGTGTGTGTGGGGCACGGTCTGGGGGAGCCCTGCTCTCTTTCCATCACCCCTTCACACCTGCACCCCCTCATTTCCCATCCCCTCACCTTTCCATTGCTCTCCCAGTCTGTGCCCGCGCACCTGAAGTAGCACCCAAATGCACAGAATCACGGAAGAGAAGAGTTGGGAGGGGCCAAGAAGGCCATTGGGTCCCACCCTGCCCACAGTCCTGAGCAGTTAAAGCATCCCTTCCTGAGGGCTGTCCATCTTGGAGGCCTCCAGGGTGGGAGAGCCACCACCTCCCCGGGTGATTGGTCCATTGTGCCACCCGCAGAGTCTGGGCCTTTTTCCTGGCATCTAGCCAGATCCTGGCTTCCTGTCACTTGAGCCCCTTGTTCTGTGTCCTGCACTGGGGATGATCGAGAAGAGATCCCGTCCTTCCTCTTTGTGATAGCCTTTCCAGGGCATGTAAAATGCTAGCCAATCTCCTCTCGGTCTTCTCTTCCCAAGGCTAAACATGCCTGGGTTTTTCGCTTTCTCCTCATAGGGCTTTGCACATGTCCACCTGTGCAGTGTCTGTAAACCTGCCACAACCCGCTGTGTTGGACTACAGCCCCCATAATCCCCCAGCCAGCAGAGTTGAACTCCAGCTTGGGGAAACCTGGGTTATGTTTCTGCACTCTGTGCAGCTCTCGGGGGCTTTGAAGAGACACACGCGGGCCCAGAATCGTGGTGCTGATTTAAGCACTGATTAAGCCAGAAACAACAGGCCCCTGGCTCAGTCTGCAGTCACTCGATCCCCAGTGCAAGGGACGGCCCTCGCCATGTTTCGCCATGTTTCGCCAGATGGGCTGAGAGTTCCTCCCGCAGGAGGGAGGGTTGGCCAGGGCTGGCCCCGTGCGACCGGGAGTGGGGGGTGCCCGGCCCTTCCCCCTTTGCCCGGCCTCCCTTCCTCATGCTTCTCCTTCCCGCGGTCTCCACAGGGCAGGAGTACAACTTCTTGAAGATGGAACTGGAAGAGGTGGAGTCCCTGGGGGAGATGTATGACTTCGACAGCATCATGCACTACGCTAGGAACACTTTCTCCAAGTGAGAGCCCAAACGCGCTTGCGTTGTCCGTGCGCTCAGTCCGCCTCTGCTTGCCTTTGCCTTCCAGCCAAACGCCGTGCCTCGGGCTGAGCGCTTCCTTCCCTGCCAGCGGGGCCAACAGGCTGCGGGAGATGTGAAGATGCCAGTGGGACTGGAGGTGCAAAGGGCGAAGCAGAGCAGCCCCTTGCGCGGAGGCAGGTCGTCTCTGTCCAGACAATTCCCCGGGCAGGCACTGGAGAATTGGCGCCCTGGATGTGGGTGCCCCTGTCTTGGGCGGGGAGCCTGCCTCAGCCTGAATTCCGCTTTGGAGAAGCCCTCCAGGAAGGGGTGGGGCCAAAGTCAAAGGGGCGGGGCCTGGATTACGCAACAGACCAGCGTGCTGTGGCTGGTGCTCTCCCTGGCAGTGACTAAGCCTTGGCGGGGCGTTTCAGTGCCTGGGAAGGGGGCGGCTGCACAGAGGCCAGGCAGCCGTGCGTGGGAACGGGGCTGATGCAGAGGAAGGAGGGCTGGCCATCTGGGAGTTACCCGAGGAGCCAGACTTCGCTCCTGAGGTCGTGGTTTCCACCCCTGCCCCAGCGACACTCCTGGTATTTTTCTTCCCAGGAGGGCTCTGCATTCTGGGAAGAAAGGCCAATCATCGGGGCACTGCAAGGTCATGGCACGGGCCACTTCAAGCTGAGCCTGCAGTCCTCCGAGGCCATTCTTCATCGAGCAGCCCGATTCGTGCAGCACAACGCTCTCTGCTCTTATTAGCAGCTGCTCAGGCCGAGGGCTCAGCTGGCCCTGGAACTTGGCACAGTGGGAGGGAAGGAAGGAAGGAGGCAAAGGCAGATGGGAGAGCTGGTGAAGGGGCAGCATTAGGAGACGTCCCATTAGAGCAGGCGTCCCGGAGCTGTCCTTTGGAGCCCCAAACCTTTGGGAGGCCATGAACCCCAGTAGAGGTCCAGGGGTCCTGAGGAATTTTTTCCTTCATGTGCCCCCCTCCTGCTCCCCCCCCCATATCCATACATCCCTTTTTGCTCAGAAGACAGTCCTCTAAAGAGGCACACACACACACACCCAGAGATCTGAGCATATTTAGATTAGCAAATGCAAGTTCGCGGGGCTTTCCTAAGCCCTTTGTCTTTTGGATGGCGACGGCCACCCCAGCCGATGCCATGCAGCCAAGAGCCGAGCAGCACTTCTGGTGGAACCACTCAGGCTTTTTACCCAAATGCAGCCGTCTGGGCCGTTGGGGCAAAGAAGATGCGCACACAGGGAACCCTGCAGATGCGGAGAGACGCCCTGCCTTTCCTCCGTCATTTGTTTTCCTGTGAGGCCGTCGGAAGGAGCTGCCACGACCGGGCTGCCAGGCACGCAGGGGACCCTGACGCTCTCTGCCCTCCCGCCCTGGCCGGTCATGGAGGAAACGGCTGAATTGGCTCCCACGTATGCCCGAGCAAGCGTCAGGAGAGAAAGGAACAGCTGCCTCGTTCATGTGGCTGGGAGGACACTTGTGCTCGGGGGCGTGCGGGGGGATTGGGGGGCAAGCCGAAGGCGGGACTGGGGAGAAAAGGCTGCTCTCGGGGGCAGCGGGGAGGAAAGCGTCCGCTCTCCCCACTCTGGAGCACCGTGCAAGCCGGCTGTTCTCGGAGAAACCCCGAGGAGACCTGCTTTGCATCCCGCTAAGAGGCTTGTGCCAAGGAGGTCGTCTTGTAGCAACAGCTGAATGAGCTTTGCTCTGGAGCGGCCTCGTCACGTGACAGCCCAAGGCAAACACAGCGCCCTGTCAAAACAGACCTGGCAGGCCCTGACAAGGGCTGGCAGTGACCCCACGGCTTCCTGCTTGCTCTAGGAATCGGGAACAAGGTTGAGTGTTTACCTTCGCCAAGGCAGTCCGTGCCCTCGTGAAACCTCCATGCCTCTCCACTCTCGCTCGCTCCTCCCTCACTCCCCACATCCAGAGCTTCTTTGCTTCTGCTTTCCCATGGTGCACGTGTGTCAGTTGTCCAGTTTGGGGGGTGCCTTGCACAAATGAAACTGTCGGGAGGGTCATTTCCCACCCCCACAGAGCAACCTCTTGCGGAAAGTGAGAAGTCTTCTGCTGAAGGCGTGCAGCCTGATCCCCGGGCAGCTGCACGGATGTCAGGATATTCTGGCCGTTTGAACAGTTTCACCTTTGTCGTCTGGCAGCGTGGGCTCAGGCATTCTCATGTCTAAGCCCCGCGGTTTAGTCTTGTGGCATGCTTAGAGTCCGAATCGCTCCCCCTCCCCCCAGTTTCACGCAAGAAATGTAGACGGAGAGTAAATTCTGCAGAGCGAATTCCGAGCAGAGCCCGGCAAGCCTTTCCTTGCCTCCACCGCCATCCAACTTTTCCTCCCACGCATGTCAGTCAAAAGGTAGGTTGGTGCTCGCCGGGGGAGCGTCCTTGTTTATAAGCTCGAGAGGAGTTGATAATGCTACAGTGAGAAATTAATTAGAGTGCTGGACTGGAATTGGGGAAGCCCCGGTTCGAATCCCGCTTGGCTTTGAGCGTGGTGACTTTGGACCAACCCTGACTTCTTCGTGTAGCCGGCTTTATAGGCTTGTTGCAAAGATAAAATGGAATTGGAAGATCCGTATACGAAACCCTGGACTCTTGCCAGTGTGTGCATGCTTCCTCTTACCTTACCTTCGCTGAGTTGCACCCTTACCAAAAATGAATGGAGAAAACCCCACGGCAGAAAAACTGTGGTCTTTTTCCGAGTTTTGGGTGGAAGCTGCAATAGCTGGCTATGGTGCTACACCACAGGAAAACTGCAGCGCCCTCTCTTTTTGCTGCTAACAAGAGCGGCAAGCAACATAATGGAAAAGGGTCCTACTCAGCTGGTTCCCGCTCCAAAGGAAATTAAATCCACAGCCTTTTTCCTCAGATGAGTCAACTTTGTGGGAAGTGATTTGACGAATGAGTGGCTGGATTGCAGCTAGAACCCTGCTAGCCAGAAGGAGATTTAAATAAAGAGAGCTCCCATGCCTGACCCTCGTGGCCCAGCCTTTTCCCATTGGGTGGAGTCCTCCAGATGCTCTGCCCCTTCCTCCCAGCCTGCACTGGAGCAGCACTGGTAGCTGGTTCCCACCCCTCCAGGGTCAATGCAGAACGATTCCCTGGAAACCTAGAGCTTAGATTTCCATAAGGAAAGAGTCAAATGTTAACCCTTTTGTTGAGAGTCAAAAATGTGCAGCATTTCCCCCACAAGATTGTAGCTTCACATCTGTTTCTTTAACCCCTCTGCGATTTCCACCCTTCTGCTGCTTGCAGAGTATCAGCCAGTGCTATCTTGATCTCAGTACATAAGCCCGGTCGACGTCTTAGAGGCAGGAAACCAGTACAGAGCCAAATCTTGTTCACCTGGAATTGCCTCAGTGGTCCATCCGTGGAAACACCTTGCCTCTGCTCTCAAAGGAATTTAAAGAGAATGTGGCAGCATCAAATGATAGCGCACTCCATGCATCAGGCTAGAATATTTTGACCATCTTAGAAGGAAAGGGAAGTATAAACTGTTGCAGTCACTTGACAAGCAAAAGAATTGCAGAAGAGCTGCTTGGTGGAAAATCCTTAAAGAAAAGACTGAGGTCAATATAATATCCTTGTTAGAACGGCTGTATCTAAAATATGTTTAGCCATGATAACGACCAACCTATGGAAGGAGAGGAACAAGGAGGAGAGCCGGGAGGGTGAAAAGAATGCCTGCTTTACGTCTTGGAGGTACAAATGGCTAATTACTGTAGCACTGTATCTGAACTCTTGGGATGAGGCCAAAAGCGCATTGCCTGGATCCTGCAGCTGTAGCTTGCTGCAGACATGCTTGCGTTGCACCACAGCCTGTCTCGGAGCGTGCCCTTGCCTGCCGTCAGGCTCCGCTCTCGTCCGCTCGGCCTCCCGTCTCGGAACCATCCTTCGTTCTTGTGAGGTTTGTCAGCCTTTTGCCGCGGGGAGGCTGGATCGGCAGCTCAGTGGAGAGATTCCTGCGTGCTCCGCAAATGTTTGTGGCCACAGGCTAGGGGGGTGTAACATGTGGCGCATTCATGCTTGCGCAGCACTCTTTGGCATGCTCAGACTAGAGATGTCGTCAGTGTTATCCAGGACATATCTCTGGGTCTCCTTCCAGAAAATTAACGTAGCTGTAACTGTGATGGATGGACGGTTACTGTGCCAAATCTCTTGCGCAAAGAAGAGCCAGCCCTGCCGTTCATGTCCCATTTTTCTTCACGTAGAGGAACCTGTGCCTTTAGCAACAGTGCCTGTAGCTGGAAGTTTTCTGCAGCCACTTCTACTTAAAGGTGGTTGAAAGTACAGCCCCCTAGTACGGTTCTGCCTACTATTCTACAGGTCTCTGAACATGCGCATGGTAGGCATGTCATGAGTGGAGCTGGCTGGAGTTGGGGGTCCGACTAGATGGCCCAGGAGGTCCCTTCTGACTCACTCTGTTTCTGTGTTTCTAACTCCTGGGGATTCCAGTGCATGAACCCCAAGAACTTGAGTAAACTACATTGTGCTGCTCTAGCAGTGGGAAAAATATTCAGCCAGAGCCCGGCTTCCTGTCTCCTGAAGTCCATTATTCCATGTCCTGCACTCTTGAGCGATGGAGAAGAGATTGTGGCCTTCCTCACTGCAGCAGCCTTTCAGATACCTGGTTGTGCCGTCATACCTTCCCTTCCACTTGTGCCTGCTTGATGAAGTATCTTCTCCTTGCTGCACTTCCAGCTCAAGCTGTTCCTCTTGCACCTGAGCGCTAGAAAACAACCTCGGGGATCCTCGGCTGGAGGATACACACTTCTGGTCTGGGCTTGCCTGTAGCTGCCAGTAGACCTGGCCTGGCCCTGGCCCCCGATTTAGCCCAGTTTTCTCCAGCCTGGCGCCTTCCCAGAGTGTAAAGCCTTCAGCAGCCATAATCCAAAGAAATTGAGAAATTGCACCAGGAAGACACCCATTTGGGGAAGTTTGCTCTAGCTTCATGCTTTCAGCATTGCTGATTCCAGG